ACAGAGGACTATGGTCAAAGGAGAATGAGAAGCTTGCAGCAAGGTATTTTTGGCCTTTTGAAGTGGAGGAGAGAATTGGGAGGAGTTGGCCTATAGATTGAGGCTTCCTCCAACAGCCAGAATACATCCCGTTTCCATGTCTCCACGTTGAGAAGAGTGGTGGGGGAGCATGCAGTGAGCCCAGAGCTGCCCAGCACATTGAGAGGACATGGAAGTGACATTGGAGCCTCTAGCGGTAGAAGGAGAGCGCATCAATGAGAAGGGGGAAAAGGAGGTGAAGATTAGGTGGAGCGGCCTCCTAGAACTATGAGCCACCTGGGAGACACAGGAGAGGATTGGCAGAGCAGTTTCCTGCTTTTCACCCTTGAGGACAAGGTGAGTCTTTGGGAGGGGAGTAACCTTACTCTAGGCGGGCCCCACATGGAGTTAATTCAAGGGTTGGAGGGAAAATTTGAATGGAAAGGGGGGGGAATTTGAATAGAAGGGCTGTTTAGGGATTTTGTATGGGGATGAGAGTTAAAGAGGGGGAAAGGGGGGAATTAGGTCCTCATCTTGAATTTGAATGAAAAGTTTGAGATCTCATTGTGTGCTTGGGCTCTAGGGTTTGCTAGAGACTTGTGGAGAGTTGTTCTTCCTCTCGAATTGAAGAACTATTGTATCTTTGCTGTTTTGATTCTTCTTCTAGTGGAATACAAGTATTGGCTTGGTTTTATTCCAGTTTTTCCCACTGTTTTCTCAGTTTGAGTGCAATTTTCTGCTGTCCACAGCAGAAATTCTGCTGTTTTCCTGCTGTTTGCTCTTCCGATTGGCTTAGGATTGCTTGCGAACTCAAGTATTACCTTAGGGTTACTTGTGAACTCAAGTATTTCCTATCAGTCTTCTTATCTACAATCTTAATCTGCCTTCCTAAAATTTTCCTCGGAACCTAATATGTTAAAACTCCCCCTTCGAAAGCAGAAAGCGAAATAAAAACAAGAGCAGGGAGGCCGGGGCACAGGTTTTCAGAGCCCACATCAATATTTAGCATCGTCAAGGCTAAGGATTGGTCGACAATAGGCCCAGCCAGAAATACATAGACCAAATGCCCATAAAAGTAGTTCAAATTTATGTCTATCTGTGCAGTTTAATCTATAAATAGTTCCTGGCATAACAAAGACCATAGCTTCCATCAGAAGGTTAATAGTTCGAATAGATTCTTCCTAACTACCAAAAATAAATTTGATGGTCTTTCTTCGAACATCTTATGCCTTCATATAAGACACTCGAATATTAAAATTTGACTCAATCCGGCCAATGATTTCATGAGGCTTTATTTAATCTCTTGTCTTACAATAGACTGGATAAAATAACTTATGAATTTGGAGTTGCACTGTCTATGCCAGCTAGAAGAAGGGTATCGATGCATTTATGATCATATCTAGCAGATGATACCTTCCATGTCCCATGCAAACACTTGTTAGAGTTTGCATGTAGGCAACATTTGCAAGGTCTAGTTAGAACTTTATAACGCACACAACATATTATATATTTTTATTTATTTGATAAAATAACTTGAAATTCAATATTATTTATGATTGTCCAACTAAATAGTGTAAATTATAAGTCTCTTTTGGTAACAAAACACATGCCCTAAACAATTTCATTAGGAATATGTTATTCGTGTGTAAAAATATTGTTGTCAACCATCAAACATAATACACATATCCTATTCTTTTGCATTCTAACATGTCCTTGCAAACTCATTCAAACTAACCATTTAATCTCATGTATTATTGGTCCTTCCACAGTAATCTTGCAGTAAACTCTGCACTGCATGGTAGTCTTCATCGTTTGTCTCACCCAAATCAGAAGACTCATCACTTAAGCCACTGGCCATACTTTCATGCCCTTTGTTAACTAAATTTTAATTCTCAAACCAATCTTTTGATTGGCGAATATAACTTGGTGAAGTGCACAAGGAAGTTCCGAGACATCAACGCGTTGACTAGAAGACTTGATATTACTAGAATTTTGATAATAACATAAATTCATAACCCGACCCAAAACCTTAAAGTCAATAAAAACAAAACCATAAAGTCAAACATAAAATGTAATAGGAAGAGCAACTTGAGGCTGTGTTGCTCTATCCTGCAGACCCGCACTCACGTGACGTCTGAACTCCGCCCGAAGACCGCAGCACTCGATCCCATGGACTCGCACTCACGTTTGGACTCCGCCCGCAGGCCGCAGAGCTCGATTCCGCAGACTTGTTGGCTGTATTATGGGTTCGCAGGTCAGGTCGGGTCAGGTTAACCAGGTAACCCAACGAGTTGGGTTCGGATTTGAGTTTCCGACCCGTTTTCAAAATTGGGGCGAGTTTGGGTCAACCCGTTTAGACCTGAGTCAATTCCGAGTTCCATCCAAACCCGACCCGAAAACCCATTTTGACCCCCTAATTTCATAAACACACAATGAATAAAACTCTTCTACTGGGCTAGTTGTCGGGTTAATTATGTAGGATTGTGTAGTGTTACTAGCCTTAACTTACACATATATTACAACGAATTGACTAGTGACATGATGTAGGGCAATAGTACACACCTCACCATTAACATTCAATCAACCCATTAACCACTAGAAGTCGACTAACTAAGCTCACTTTGAATATTCTTGCATCATACTGAAGCACCCTAAGTACTTTTAATTTCAACTCCTATAATGAGGTGTTAATTGGAACATTAACGAACTATTTGGCTGCCTGAAATAAGAATGCAGTAAGGAATGAAGTGTAAAAGGAATGTGGTGTAAAACAAATAATTTGGAGTTGTTTGAATGAGTGTAAAAGGAATGCACGACATTACTTATTTTATTTTAATTTGAAGTGAATGCAATATAAAGTATAAAATGGTTGAGCCCGGGGCAATTGGGTCTCAGCGGCCGAAGGCCGGCGATGTCCGACTGTGGTTGTAGGGTCGGCGGTGGCCAGAGATGATCGGCTGTGGTGGCAATGGTAGTCGGCGGTAGGGCGGTGGGCGGTGGGCAATGGGGCAGCCATCGGCGGCAGCCAACCAATGCGGGCGGTAGGCAACGGTGGCTAGCAATGGTGATGGCCGGCGGTGATAGTGGTAGTAGGAAGGAGACAAAGGTGGGGCTGTGGGTAGCAACGGAAGAGAGGTTGTGGGTGATGGCAAGGCAACGGCAGTGGGTGGCGGTCAGCAACAGGCGGTGGTGGCGGCGGAGGTCGTTGGCGAGGGCCGCTTACTAATTGTGGCTGCCGACGATGGGCAGTAAGTGGCGATGGAGATGGTGGCCACTGTGGGTGATCAAGGAAGCCTTTGAACGATGTAAAGCATTCTTGCTCAAATTGAGTGGTCAAGGAACACTTTACCTCAAAAATAAATTAAAATGAAATACACTGCATTTATTTTACTTTTCATCCAACCAAACACCAAAAAGTGAAAAAATAATGCATTTGCTTTACTTTGCATTCACTTTTCTTTCAACCAAACAGCTCCTAAGTGGGCGGTTATACCCACCATTATATGTAGGAAAAAATTGATCATCAATGATCAACTGACCCCCATATATTAGCATAAGTGATGCAATTGATGAATCCATTCTGCACCACTTGCATATTTAAATTTTGTGTTGTCGAATTAATATTGAGTGAAAATTCAAACTCTCAATTCTTGATACGTCATATGCTCTTCTTTATAAAACATTCTAAACTAGCTAAATTGAAGTCTTAGTACTTGGATATTTAATTATTCCAATCTAAAGACAGACACATGATTAATTAAATTTTTTCGGCTCAAAATGCATATGATACCTAAGTAAAATGATAGGAGTACTAACTAATCAACATAAGCATCATTTACATTTCTAGGTGAATAAAGCTTGAGGGTGGTGAAAAGGTGGAGAGGATAACAACAAAATATAACATATCTGTGGATTCATAAATTAGCATAACTTAATATCTCTTATTTTAACACTTCGGGTGTTACATAAATCAAGCTATAACATAAATTTCTGCTAGAAAAATTTTAATTTTAATGTTAAAATTCAAAGTTTTTTTCAGGCAATGCTATATTACTCGAAAAAATCAACAAATCTAGCATTTTCCAAATAAATACAGTTATAGAGAATGGAACTTCATTTCAGGCAATGTGAAATCATTCTGAAAAAATGAAAGGTCTAATACTTTCCAACAATTAAGAAATTAGGAAAAAAAAAAAACTCCATCACAGACAATGAGATATCACATACAAAATCTCTACAAATCAAACATACTCCAATAAAAAAATAAGTGCAGAGAAGGGAAGTGATTATACGATGGAAAATGAAGATCTGGTCATCAAAGCACCTAGTTGATGAGTCTTGAGTGATGGGAAGGGATTTGAAAGTGATTGGAAGGATAAAGATGAGAAAAAATAGGTGAATTGTGTGAATCACCCGTCAGTCTGTAAACAAGCCCGTCCAGCCCACTATCCATGAACTAGCTGGCATCCCCTGAGCCCCACCCTCCAATTGGGTTGATCAAGAACGATTGGCTTAGTCATTAAAATCGAAAATGACTTGCCAGTAGTTAGGCCCTTGCACGACAAGCCGCGTGACCATACCCGCCCATTAGCTCGTCCTCCCAACCCGCGACACCAACTCGACTTCCCGACCCATGACTCAACCCACCAGATTAACCTCTACTCGCAACCCAACTCGCTCAACCATTAATGAATTACTAGCCAATCTTTCAGCCCTTGCACAACTCGCCGCTCAATCTCCCGACTCGCCCACCAGCTCAACCTCAACCCGCAACTCAAACCACTCAACACTTCCAAGTAGCTCCAGGCCACGTCGTCAAATTCAACATTTTACTGGTAAACAACTGACAACATTTATAACTTTCCTTCACGTAAAAAATTAAACAAATTCATTTTAAAAAATTTTCATAGCTAATAAACATTCTTTCAAATTGCTAAAAAAACCATCAACAAGATAAAACAAATGATACACAAGCAACTTACTTTACTCTCTCAAAGTTTAGCCCCATCCTCTTACCACCATCTTGCCCTGAAACATATAACAAAACAGTAGCCAGCATAGTAAGCTTCCAAGACACCCAAAAACTCAGCTCAGGCTAGGAACAAAAGAGAAAATGCAATGAAAAACAAAATTATTACTAGCAGTAAAAAGATATAGTTAAAACAAATGCATTTAGAGATGGAGACGAAGAAAAAGTAGAGTACCCGGGAGAGGATTATAATACCCTAGAACTTCAAGATGCCTCCCATCTCTGGGGGATCTACTGTCTGCAGCCATCACTCGATAGAATGGCTTGTTTCTACACCCAAATCTTGATAGTCGTATCCTAACCACCATCTTATTGGTTCTTATGATATTGCTAATATAACCTTCTACATAAAATCACACAAAAGATCAGGAAAAGAATCAAAATGGAAGATCAAATGAAAAAATGGAAAAGAACATGTCGCCTCCAGGGCAGCAGTAAACAGCAATAATACTTTATTGTTATTTAGCCCAAGTCCTCCATGCAGATATATGCCTGCTAAAGAAAAAAATACCCTCTTCATATGCAACAAGGCTTCTTCCATTTGAGTTCCAACAAACAACAATTCAGCAATTTTTGGGGGGGATTGAAAAAGCTACAATGGTCCATTTAGTTCAAAGGCCCTGTTATTGGTTCGAACAAAAAATAAAATAAAACAATCTAAAACACTTTCAGTATCAAGAGGCTTTCTACTAATTCGTAGCTTATAATTGTCATTTTTTCACAATGATTATATGTCCACTGCGATTAATGTACAAGCAAAAAATAAAATCGGAGAAACGAACAGAAAATTTGTAGACGATCGAATTATTAGGGCTAAAACGGTCTTATGAGTCCGCAAAAGATTGATATGAAGATCTATGAAGAGCAAACATGTCAGAGACTCAGAATTATCAATAGTCTCTTTTGGGCAATCCAACAAATACTCTAAAACAGTCTTGGTATAGGATTTATTTCGAGTTTTTAGTAGGATTTACGGTAAATCCAGCCAAACGCAAAAAATGGCGCGGTAAATCCGGCAAATCCGCAAATCCCGGATTTGCGGATTTACGGCGTAAATCCGCTAAATCCCGGTAAATCCTAATCCCGCTAGAAGTCGGATTTACGGGATTTGGCCGAAGAAGCGCGCGAAAGGGAGAAAGTTACCTTCACAGCGAGCGAGAGGGAGCTCCCGTCGTTGCTTCAGATCAAAATGTTGTAACGTCCGATCCGACAGGAAGGGAACGTCGTCGAAGGAGCGAAGTCGAACAGCAACGAAGTAGCGAAGTCGAACAGCAACGAAGGAGCCGAAGAAGCGACTCGCACAATCTCAACACCTCCTGCGAAGCAACGAAGGAGACCAAGAAGCGACTCGTGCAATCTCAACACCTCCTGTGAAGCTACGAAGCCGAACAGCATGGCCGAATAAGAGAAGATTAAAAGCAAACCCTAGACGCTTTCATTTCTGGTTAACTTAATTAATATAATTTAAAATATTAATAATTAATAGTATAATTAGTGTATAAATTAATTATCTAATTTAACTTAATAAAATAGTTAGTAATATTATTAGTAATTATAAATTAATATAATTATCTTATACATTATTAAACATATAATTAATAATATAAATAATAGTTAAATAATTAATGAGCAGTAGAATTCTTAGTTGATTAATGAGATAATTAATATAAAATTTATAATTAAAACTAATAAAATAGTAGTTAATTTATTAATTAAATAATTAGTAGAAATATTATTTAAATAATTAGTTATTTCAAAATATTTAGTTAATTTAATTTTAAATCTCCAATCGTTTTTATCTCTTGCCAAACATCTTTCTGGATTTAACAGGATTTAAAAATTGTCAAACCAAACACAATTCAGGATTTAAGAGCCCAAGATTTACTAAATCCGGATTTACAGGATTTAGTAAATCCTATTAAAATTGAATCCAATCCTATACCAACACCCCCTAAATATAAGTCATTCGACAAAATATATATTTCTTAATAAATTCTCATAAATACAGATGTCCCTCACTGCCCTATTTCCCTCTTGCTGATTATCAGCGCTAATCGCAATAAGAAAGCTTAACCTAAGTAGAGGAGTCGAGATCGTCACTACGGTGGAGAAGAAAAAGGAAGGCAGAGACGCAAAAAAATTGCGTAGGGCGCCCAAACTTTCGGGTTAGCATCAATATATCGATTTTCAAAGGTCGCATGGAACGCCGAAAATTCACGAAGGGGCTGGAAAGCATACACAAGCTAACCAACCCTAAAACTAAACCGTAATGTTCACTTGCTCACTGGCGAAGGAATTATGGGGTCTGTAGCATGAAGGTGAAGCGAGAATGAAGGAAAGAACCTTGTTTTCTGAAGAACGTGTTGGCTGCGCAGTTGGCGTAAGCAGCACCGGCTAGAGGTCGGCGGTGCGGATGATGGAGAGTAGTCCTACTTGTGCACATGCATTGATGGTGCTCGAAGTTATCTAAATTGTATAATTCAATTTAAATTTCAATTATATATACATTTACATGCATAATATGAAAAATCATTTAGGTTTTATTTGAGATAACTTTTTTGCTACTTCATAAAGTAACTTTTAGTATAAATTTAAATATTTTAAGTTTAAATTTCAATGTATATATTCAAAAATAATATCTACCTGATTAGAAATTGTATCCCTATTAACAAGCTATCAATCTTGCCACCCATGGTGCTGAAGTGTCAATGCCCATGGTTAGGGTTGTTAATATTTGACCTGACCAGAAACTCGAATCAAATCGGATCAAAAAAATTTTGGGTTCAGGTTAACCGATTTTGCAAACGAGTCGGGTTCGTATTTCATTTTATGACCTTTTTTAAATTTCAGACCGGATTCGAGTCAATCTAAAACGTAAAAAGTAAACCATTTTGACCTAAAATCAACCCGAACCAACCCCCCCCCCACCTCGCACGAAGTATCACGCTGTGATACTAGCAGCAATCCTGCACATACACTTGTGCTCACTCACGTTGCACGCACTCCCCAGTCGTAGTCCCACACCCGCACTACTGGACTCCTACATCATATGAGCTTGGTCATAGCAATCACGTGTTCGCGCCTGCAATCACGCCCACATCTCACACCCTCACCCGCTCTCACCCCCTTCGTCTGCATGAGCTTGTGCACTCATGCGCCCATGTCCGCATCATTCATGCATAACTACTTGAAAGGTTAATTGCTAGATCGAGCCAACTCTAATTAAGAGCGAGTCGAGTCCGGATTTAGATTTATGATATGTTTGTCTAATCTGGTTGGGTTTAATTCGGATCAGATTGAAGTAAGTTAGTTTTTGATTGGACCCAAACCCGGCCCAAAAACCCATTTTAACACCGCTACACATGCCTATGAGCTCCACCTTGCATACTGATCCAATTCTTTAAGTGCCTGCTGACTCCTCTCCGCCTTATCGATGCCCTTACATTCATGATCCAGCAAGTATTCGATAAAATTAGCTAATGACGTTAATAATGGTGTCTATTGGGATAAATAATAAAATTTATTTGTGAAATATATAAATTAGATAGTTTTCATGGCTATGTTTGCAAATCACTTTCAAGATATTGGATCTGAATTTATCCATGAAAGATGCCTAAATTTACTAGCAAGAAATCTTCTAGATAAGAAATTAAGAATCAAGAGCTTAGGTGAGTATGGAGAATGAGAGAAAAATAAGAGAAGCTAAAGTATCAAAGATTATATATATATATATATATATATATCATCTAAAATGTGTATCTTCACCTCTTATTTATAAGACTTTTATGGCTATAATAAAGGCTATATATAATAAAAAGTAAAATGTGCAATATTTAATGACATTATAAACTATACAAAACACATGTTATTGTTAATAGTTGTCCATGTGGCTTTGAACCTCTAAGAAGATCATTTGTTCTAGGGAAAGTGTAAAAACCCGAACTTTTGAAGACTTCAAAATACAAAATCTAAATTCCTATTTGAACTGCAGCATAGCAGCACTATGCCTTTGAGCATCGATGTGCTGGGTTTCGAAGCGTAGTGGTGTCTTGAATGGTCCTTACAACGTTGAAGCCTATGTTCTATAATAATTATGAATTTGGCATGCAGAGCTATAGCACTGTGTTGTGGCGCTACAGAACTATGCATTAAAATTTTTTTATAAATACATTTTATCTCCACTTAACCTCCTCCTTCACCTCCAGCTTCGGCTTGCGTGAGAAGAAATAGGACGGGAGGAGAGAGAGAGGAAAAAGTTCATATTCCGGTCACCGATATACTTCACCACTTTTATAAAATTTGCTCATATCGAGGTAGAAAACTTTTATCCTATCTCTTTTTTTAAAATGTTTTGAGTTTGACAGTATGCTTTCTTTTGAATTGATTTTTATAACATTTTCACCAAATTTATCGAGCTTTGGTCATACAACTTTTATAAGTTATAGTACTAATATTATGAATGATTTGGGTGGTTGATTTTGAGATTTCACCTAGTAAAATAAAAGTTATGTTATTTTATTTTATGTGCTCATAATAGAATTTTAATACCTGATAAAAGCATATTGTTAAATGTAAGTGTTGAGAATGAAAATAAGCATGTGATTGGGTAATAGCTATTGATTTTATAATGATGTATGTGTGTGAAACAAGTAAAACCTAGTTAACTCATTGGTTGAAGATTTATAGACATGTAGATTATGGTGGGTCGACTGGTTTCACTTTAAATATAATGGTTTGATGTTATCATTTATTGATTCATTTGATACAATGATTTTGAGTTATAAAGAGTTATTACTACACCGACGGGAAAAGAGAGATTACTCTATTGATTTAGCTAGCATTTATCAACTATTAATTACTAAGTGCTAGAAAAATATCGTGATTGCTAGAACTCATTGTAGAATAATATTAAAATTGATTAATGAAATGCATGTTATTAATTCATTATTACTGTTTAACCTAATAGTTATAATATTTATTCACTACTACCATCATAATATTTTATTATTCTAATGATTATTGTTTTACTACCACGATATTTCTACTATTGATTCACTATTTACTGATGTTCTTAAAATGAGCATATTATTCCTATACTAAGTTAGTGAAATTGAGCATGTGATATAAGATACTAATAGGATATTGATATATAATGATTAAAATTTATGTGTACAATGCATAATTATAAATTTTGACAGTTTTTTAAATATTTATGATTATTGATTTACATGATTTCCCTATTGTATATTCGATTCAATCTCCATATTGAGTCACTAATGTATCGGCTTACCGATTTACTAATTTACTTGTACCAACTTTATAAGTTTTCACAATGAATTGTCTTTATCTTTCACAAATTTTATCATTTGTGCACTGCACAGTTTCATAATCATAATTATTGCTACTATTATGATATAACTGACGATATACATTCTGCTTATTTACCATGATTTCAGTTCCATTATATGATTTAGTGACATTTAGGGCTTTTTAGCTTACTATACGTAATTTAAATGATTTTAGGTCAGGGCAGAGGATTATGAGTATAAGGTTGATCAAGATTCTCCAGTTTACTTTTTTTTTTCTCTATTTTGTAGGTATTCTTCTGTACTCAATATTCGATGATTTTTGTAATTATTTGAGGATAGAGAAGATCTTTTACAACATGTGGTGTTCCAGAAACAAGAAAAGTGCCATTAGTAGTATTTATGTTTAAAGGAGAGGCTGAGAGATGGTGGATTGGACAGTAAAGAGAGAAATTTCAAGGGAAGATAAATACTAAGCTCATATAAAATGAACACTTCAAACTTCAAAATTTAAATTTATCTACTTAAGGCAAGTTAGATTTGATGTCTGGGTTTCTGGTTATAGATGATAATCATGTATGTTATGGTGTTTGTATTGTACAATTAATTTTAATTGAATATATATTTTTTTATTTAAATTAAATATTTTAATTAATTTTTGTTTAAATGGATCATATAATACAATGTAGATCGTACAATATACTTAATAGAAAAATTAAAATATTTATTTTTCACACAGTAGCTAAGCTAACATATACCTTTTTTACATAATTGACACAAAAAAGAATAAAATTATAGAGACCCTCAAACAAGCTTAACATATACAACCAATTATTTAGTTATGATTTGCTAATGATTTTGTGTATATTGAACCTAAATGTTAGTGATCAAAATAAA